TGCAGTTGACAAATAACACAATGCTGGAACACAATGGCACTGATTGATGGAACATGAATTCATCTTCATCATTATCGTTATCGTTATTTTTATCATTGTCAATATCATCATCAACATCGTCATCATGCACAAAATCAATATCAACAACAGTGACATCAACATCAATGGTATAGTTTTGCTTGACAACACAGTGAATGAAAACAGAATCAACCAGGGCGGTAACCGCGCCGCATTTGCGCAGAAATTCCAACTTCACCAATAGATGGGTGTTTTGTTAGTCGTTACATACTCATCCAATTCATCGATTTTTATTGATTTATGAAATTGTCTGTTTAATTTAAAATACTTTTATTTACTTTTTTCTTATTTTCTGTTTAATTATTGTTTCGAATTTGCATATTCTAATTAATTTCTAATATTTCGATAGTTATCAAAAGTGTATTGATTATTGATTATGGAAGATTTTAATAATTTGAAATGTCAAATTGTATTTTTTTAAAGCATATTAAAATATTAATTGATAAATTACTAAATTATTTCATTACTAAAATTAAATTACTAAAACTTTCCTAACACGATGAAAAATTGTGATTATCAAGACTGTTTAAACAAACAAAAAGAAAGAATGAAAATTATCACTAAATAATTATTTAGTGATAGTGATACATTTTATAAATTTTTAAATTAATTATATATTTGATAAAGCTATATGCTAAATTAATCAAGCTATGTGAACATTGCGTTGGGAATAGCTATTATATTAGACTAAAAAATTTTCCTCATATTGATCATTTTCAGCTATTAATCAATTCGACTGGTCAAAAACAAAAAGCAAATAATGTCACCATCAAACGAAAAGCCAAAAGTTTATATTATTGGTGTTGGAATGACCAAGGTTTATTCATATACTGTGTTAATTTTTTTTCCGCAATATTATATTTTTACAACTTCGAAAAATGTCTGGAAGTAATATCATTTATTTCATCAATATATCCTTTTAATAAATGATATACTGACATGTTATATTTCTAAATGAAAGTGCAAAAAAATGAGGGAAAAATGGAAAATTTTTGATTTTTCGGATATTTATAAGAACAGAGGAAAGTAACGAAAGGATTAATTAGGAAAATTTTTAATTAAAATAATGATATAATATAGTAAAGTAAATTTTGCTATCAAATTCGTTAATGTAATTACTCTTGTAAATGATTGATTTGAAAACATCATTGATAAGGTTTATAATACAATTATACTTTGATTTGATCTTTTATCTTCTTTCAATTTACTTATTTCATGTTTTGTATATATATAATACGATTCAACGATTACATAATTAAAGTCTTTTTTAAATTTCAGTTCACAAAACCAGAATCAGTACCAAATTGGGATTATCCTGATATGGTAAAAGAAGCAGGTAAAGCATTTTTTACATTTTTAAATTACGTGTACTTTAACAAAATCGTCAACTTTCTTTATCTTTTTTCCATTGATTGATGAAATTTTTCGATTCAAACAAAGGAATTGTAGAATTTTTTTCTTAAATCTAATTTCTTTAACATATTTACGAGGTGCTATAAATGGGATATTATTCGATCATTGCCAATCACTGAAATAATGTTGTATTATTTCGTCAAATTATTATTATCATTGAATTTATCACATTATGCATAAAAATGTTTTGCAGTAAATAAAGCCTTATCGGATGCAAAGCTACAGTATCGTGATGTGGAACAAGCAGCGGCTAGTTATCTATACGGTGGTACTTGTTGCGGACAACGAGCACTTTATGAAATCGGATTTACCGGAATTCCTATTTACAATGTTAGCTATTTGTTCTATTGATTACTTATCAATATTTGATTTACGATAAAAACAGCTTTTATATTTCATTTAAATGATGGAACTTTTTTCTTTTCAAATCAAAAACTGATATTTAGTTTACAATTAATAATAATTAGAGAAGGAGGCACAAATAAACAAGTATTGTTAATTAATATAATTAGTCTCTATGAAAGCTAATTTCTTCTTACTAGCAGATAAAAAACAATGCATTTAAACTATTGCAGCTGAATAATGCATGCGCAAGTGGTTCAACAGCTATTTATCTCTCAAAATTGTATATTGAAGGAGGTTAAAGGAGATTTAAATTAATAATGAAAATGCTACCGTTTTATCACAAAAATTGACTGATTTCAATAATTAATGCAAAGTATATCTTTATAATTATATATGTTGAATTAGGCTTGTTAAGAAAATCCTCTATGATCATTCTTTAAGGTTAATTAATTGATAATTATTGAAAATTAATTCTTACATGTTTTTATTGTAAATCCATTTATTTTTAAATGATCTATTTTATTAAATAAAACATCGTCCAGATCAATTTTTTAATCCGTTTATTTGTCATTTTTTCTTTCACTTGTAAATTTGTTCCTAATTTTATGATTAAATGTAAACAATCATTAATTACATGGCTAAAATCTTTACACACTAGATAAACCAGTTTATATCATTCGTGTAACCCTTCAGGACTAGTAAATTTCCGGAAAGTTTATTTCTTTTCAGGTCATGCAGATGTTGTGCTTGCAGTAGGTTTTGAGAAAATGAAAATTGGTTCATTAGAATCGATGGAAAATATTGATGGTCGAACACATGCGCTCGAACGTCATATTGATGTCATTTCTAGCACTCGTGGCTTAGTACCTGTACCTTTAATGGCGCAAATGTTTGCTAATGCTGGCCGAGAACATATGGACAAATATGGTAAATTTATTAGCTAGAAATTCTTTAATTCTTGTTGGATAAGATATGCATTTAATGATATAATGAATAATGTCACTTTAAAAACTTATTTTTTATCCGCACAATTTTAGAAACTATTATATATTTTTGAATTTTATTAAATATCTTTCTTTTTCTTCTATTTTTTTGAATAAAATAAAATTTGACGAAAGAAAAATCAAAAATTTGCCAGAAAAAAGCGATGGAAATTTGATGAAAAGGTTTAGTATAATCAATCTTTCATTTGGTTTGACCTATTTTCCTTTTGCTTTAAATAGTTTATGAATTATCAATAGCACTGTCCATTTGTTTATCTTTTTTTTAGGAACCAAAAGAGAACATTTTGCTAAAATAGCTCAAAAGAATCACAAACATTCCGTCAATAATCCGTAAGTTTACTTACATTCCTTTATCGTTTTTTTAAGTAGTAAATAGAAATTCTCACATGTTGTCGAACGTTGTAACGAGCCAAAAAAAGAAAAAGAAAACTCAGAAATGGCGAAGAATCAGGAATGAGTGAAATGTTTTTTAAAAGTGTTGGCTTATACTTATTAATATTTCAGCTTAGAGTAAAGGAAATGCGAAAATTATCAGAACCTATAAGAATATCATTTGTATCATTCAAATAAGCTCAACTCTCTTGTCGTTTTGCTATCAATCCTTTGCTGCCAAAAGTTTCCTTCCAACAGACAGAATAAATAATTTCAAATTAAATCACTAATTTTATTGCCATAAAAAAATTCATTATTAAAGG